GGGTTCAGTGTTTAGGGTTTTGGGGTCATGTCCCGTCATTTTTCCTGGCTGGTTGGGATTACGGATTAGGGTTTTTGTTTTTTTAAGCTCCTTTTTGATGCCTGCCAGATGGTCGGCTGACTTCAAGGCCAACTATGACCAGGAGTCCTGGGACACTTACCGGCCCCAGAAAACCACACAACCAAGGCTTCGCTCACTTGTCACCCTGGTCCCTGTCCATCCCATCAACTCGTTGAACTCACCATCACGCTGCATCTTCCGACTGCCCTGGCACCATCCCTGAGGCTCCGTCACCGCCAAGCAGTGCAAGCGTGTCCTCCTCCATTCCAAGCACAGCATATTGGCTCTGAAGTAGGTCCAACACATTCTCGCCAAACTGATTGACCCACATCAGCATCCGACAACTCCATTGCCCTCCACCTCCGGTAAACTTCATTATACTGTGCCATGGTAATGTCGTCCACGAGCCCGCCCTGGTTCATTGTCCAACACCGTCCCCTCAGCGACCGAGTTCACAAGGACCGTGTCCGCCTCGCTGGGATCGAGCACTCCTCCACATCCACCCTCCATTTGTCCTCCCTCCATCAGCGGATGCCGGTGCGGATCACCTCCAGCAGTCTCGTCCGAGCTCAACAGCGTAGGCCCAATTTCCATCAGCACCGGTTCCTCCATGGCCACCGTCAGCACCAAGGACGTGGGCACATCTGGCTCAACCGGCACCCTGAGTACTTTGGACACCCTTGGCTCATCGCTACTCCCAGAGGCCAACTCCACCCGGATCATGCGACGCTTTCTCGACTCCGACGCTGGGTGCATTAGCCAGATTATTTACATAGGCAGTCCCTCAATTTGGTAGCCAGCCAATTCTCGGGATACTTTTCGGCCACTAACCACCGTTCGTACCGGATAACTAACAACGTCGGACGCACGAAAGATGGCGAAAAGCGCACCGCTGGGTGAGACCATATTGGCCTCGAGGCACGAGTCATACCCCGTAGCCTTTCCGGGACAACTACACCACGTGCTGTCGCACAACCCCACGTGATGCGGTGTGTTCATTCACATTCCCCTGAGGACATAGTCAGGAACGGCCGTTGGTCATGGCACAGCCTTCGACCCACGCTCCCTTAAGACTATAACGTCCGATGCCCCGCCCCATAGCTTCCCTCGTTAGATGGCGTCACGCTCGCCACTATGGGGGTCTTTCGTCCGAGCTGCTGCCCTGGCAAGCGGACTCATCAGAAGTGCACGGTGCTCGCCCTGGTCGGCGAATATGCTTCGGGTAAGCCTTTTTACACCACTACTTTCACCGGGTGAGGGACGTTTGGCGGCGTCCCGGTGGCGCTATCCCATGTGCGTGGGAACCCCCCAGGGTGGACAGTTTAGCGACATGTCCAGGTCGGCCAATCAACTCATGCTCTAAGGGCCCTGAGACAAGACGTCACCGTCTCGCGGTTCCCAGTGCTCAGTCCCAGAATGGCTATTTCCTGCTCAGCTACGCTGATTCCGGTCTCGCGTTCGAGAGCCTTCATCATGCTTCTTGGAGCGAAGGGATCATTCAGGAAACTGGCATGCTCATTCTCGAGCCTCTCCTCGAACCACTCGCCTGCCTCCTCATCCGGTCCCAGGGGACGCTAAAGATGCTTGGTATCCAGATCGCCACCATCCGCACGGTGGCCATCTGCCATGGCTCTGCAAAGTGCGAAAAGGAGGGGCTGATGGACACAGTTGGCCATCATCGCAACTGCCTTCGTTAGCCCTGCCCGACTCCGCGGATTCCCCAGATCAAACGACACTGACAGCGAATTGCTGAGCTTCCCCGGCTTGGGGAAGTAGTAGGTCTCGCTGCCTACAGAAACATCAATCTTAGAGCAAAATTCCAGCCTTTCCGACGTGCTTGTCACACATTCATGAAATTCGAGATCGCCAGTGGGTCCCTGAGGTTCGATCTTAAAACCGAACTCAACGTAACCCTTGCACCACTCACTCCCAAATGTGTACTTATCACCAATCAATCTGATGAAAGCGTCGGCGAAGACCTGGAGCCCGTCATCGCCTTCACCCTTTAGATTGGCGAGACTGCCGCTCTTGAGGCTGTCGATGATCATTTGCATGATCACCTTCTCACGCACTCCGCGCTTCTCCAAAAACATGGAGAAGTTGGCGTAAAAGAGCGTGAGATTGGTTAGAAAATTCAGGATACTGGTTCCGCGGTCGCCATTTTCCCTGATCATGTCCCAGATCACGGCTTTTACGACGTTTTTCACCGAGATGGATGCTTTGTTCTTTATCCTATCTCGGATCGCCGCATTCAGAAGGCTGTCTTGGCCCTCAACGCTCATGATCTTCATATATCTTCATGAACATGGATAAAATGATGTCATTTTCAATGAGGTCGCGGCACTCTTTAGTGCAGCTGCCATCAAATGACCCGAAACCATGCTGCAGGCATGATCATAATTCCGCATCATTTCGCCCATTCGCCTCCCGAACTCCCTTCGGGAGGCGTGCTTGAGGGATTAGGGTTTAGGGTATAGGGTTTAGGGTTTATAGGGTTTAGGGGGGGGGGCATCGACAAGGGAGGAGCAGAACTTTCTTTGCTGTGGTTTGTTTCGCTGCTGGGTGACATTTTCCGACAGGGCTGCCTCGGAAAGGAAGCCAAATATTGTTGCTCTTGCCACCACGTTTACTACTACTGTTACTATTGCCATTGCTACTAATCGAATATTACCAGTGCACTTAAAGCAGAGTAGATTCTGTTCTGCGATAGTATATACGGCATATACCCTATACTCGGACTCTACTCTACTACAACCGAGCCATGATTTGTTTCCGGCGGGTCCAGCAAGAGTGGTGTCAGTCTGCGCATTTTTGTTGCAGCTTTATTCGAATACGTGTCCGGAGCCTCTCCCGGCTGGGTATAGGTGTTCAAATTGACTGTCTCCCGTAAGCAAGCGGTGTGGGAAATCTGCACTTCTTCGCTGTGGTGCTAGTTGTCTGCTCTCTTCTCGTGGAAAAAGGCAGTACTGCCCTGGCAATAGTCGGTGCAGTCAGGTAGCCGTGGCACACAGCGCTAATATTCCGTTCATATGCTGTTGGAGGTGCAAGATAACGGATTCAAGGCGACTGTGACTCTCAGATTTGTTCTGCAATCATGAACTGGATGGCGCAACTAGCATGCTTTCGGCGAAATGTTCAAGCCTAGGCCCTACTCCAGCCGCAGGTTGAGAGACAGGACCTGTCGGCACAACAACATAATAATTCGGGGATTCCTCATAGTCATAGTGTAAGCATGTTGGGACCATAAATATAGTATAACTTATATAAAAAAAACTTATAACCATTCAGACTCAGACCCCTAGATTATGACTGCTAGTTTGCTGAAGGATGAAGACCTCGTGGAGTATCCGGCCCAGCACGATCCGGAGCCAAGCTGCAGAGTACACTGATATCTTATACTATGTTACTATACTACACCATATCACGCTGTACATATATCATCTTGTATCACATGATACTGCGCTGTGTTTGGTTATGTAACTAGTATGAACAGCTTAACGTGATCGCCAGTCACGTCCGTGCGTTGCCGGGGGCCCCAGCGGTCCATGCCTTGCAAAGAGCCCTGTTCGGGCTTGGCATTGACTTGGCCTCCTGCGCTGTGGGCCCGTCATATGAGTCAATACGGGGGAGGAAGTCTGACAAAAACAGTGCTGATGGCAGCAACAATACAAGTACAGCAAACTAATGATGTCCTTTCTGATTATACAGTCCCTATATAATAAAGTAACCGAACTGATAGAATTCAATAGAACTTATCCATGCTACTTTAAGCTTCGGCACAAGTATCTCTTCGTTGTCAGGAGACAAACAAGACGAGGCTCCGAGTTCGGGTAACATATTCTATAGCTAAGTAAGGGGACACAGACCCCGCTACTTGGCCGGCAGACACCTCTACAAGTCGAACTTCATAAAGCTTCGCGGATAGATGTTGTCGGTAGAATTGCACTCGCTCTGATCACCCGTCTGTCCATGTCTGCTTGTCGATGATGTCTATATCATATCCCCCCGGCTTAACGGCTTAAGGGCATCTACACAATTCGATGAGGTCCACTAAACTGAGAGTCTTGCTTTTGAGGATAACTACTACGAGTTTGCGTTTGAGACTTCTGCAAGAAGCTGCAATGCAGAAAACAGCCGAACAAACATGTTGGAGGCATTTCGCTTTTTCTCCGGTCGGGCAATGCTGTCGCCAATGCTCGGCATTGGCCTGCAAAGACAAAACGGACCTCCACAAATGACCCGCTTGTTCAGGAAGCTTGAGTGGCAGGAATGCAGCCGTGGTATGTACGTCATGCATTCAAAAAGTTGCACAATGAGTCTGCTGTGCGGTCGCTGGTCGTGCGTGGGACCACGTTCGAAGCTTCGAGATTGCAGGGGTTGAGACTTCAGATACAGAGTGCTTTACCATCATAAGTCCTAGCAGCCGCTTCAAACTTCACAACCAGTAACCAGAAATCGTCGCATCAGCTTCCTTGCTCCCACAAGTTAGCCGGTGTCATATTTCTATAAATATCCCGAAACCCCTAAACCCTAAATCCGATAAAGGCAATCCGAAAGATTGCGGGAGTTGGCCTACCTATGCCCGAAACCAAGGACCCTACCCAAGAAACATCAGACCCCCCTAATATAGGGCCTCAATAATTAGAGTAGGGTTTGGGGGCTAGGCCCCTATTTTAACCTCTTGTCAGTTAAGTCAGGTGGAGGCTGCCGGTGCTTTCTGAAAAAGACAGCTGGCAATGCTAAAAGGTCCGGCATCGAAATTCTCTAGTAGGGTGCAACGTTTGGGGGGGCTTGTAGACTAAACAACGTCTCAATCGTCCATGAAACGTCTTACACAACATCTCACGTCCGTGCCTGACCTACATGCAGCTGCTCGGCGACGAGCCCAGAGCAAACCCTTCAGCAAGCAGCTTCAACCCATCGTTCCGTTACTTGTTTTTTCAAGTCTGGGAGAAAGAAAGCTGCCAAGCAGCAAGTTGCTGCACGTCCTCCAGGATTTCTCTGAGCTTGCGTGGCTCTTCACAAACGGCTCCGACGCTGCCCAGAGCTGTGATATCCACCGGCCTGGCTTTGGTGAGTGTATGAGTGTATACCGGGTAGATCGTTGATACAAAACCGTGTACTAATGCTAATCACTCGGACGCTGACAAACTGCGGCTTTATACGCTTGACACGCCGCTGCTCACAGAACAACTTTCTGAAGGAATAAGGTGTATCCGAGAATGAACCTAAGCCTGACAACAGCAGCATAACAAGCCACATGTAAATTTCGATCTAATATGACGAACGCTTCGATCGCCACTGCTAGCACTGTTGGTTCTGTAATGACTATCGTCGCCACGATGTTCGCCGATATCACAGTGATCTTTTGGGTTAGCAACTCGGCTAGTACTGTTGCCATAGTCAAGCTCGGGCATGAGACCATCAACTATGACCTATGATCAAAAAGTGCAACAGTTCGTGCCAGGGTGCAACCGTGCCCCTCGAAAGGCGGCGACGAGCTGCAAAGCGGTTTCCCAGTTGTGGCCTCGTGCCGTAGGCTTGGGACAGGGTCTAGTTTGCAGGGCTGCGGTTTGAAGGGGTTTATGGCTTGAGGTTTCGACGCCCGCACTCACACAAGGCGGACAAGCCTTCACAGTCTCCACCATGACTACCTTGACACCCTGGCGCCAAATGCAATACCTCAAGAATCACTATGCCATCCTGAGCCCACACCCCACGCCAAACCCTCAACATAAGAGCCACCACACCGGTGCAGCCATCACCCAGTTAACCCAGCTCGTACAAGTGCAGCACCGACTCAAGCAAGTATATGTTAGTGTACTGTTTGCTAGGCTAACGGCTAACTGCACAGCTCATCGTAATACTGCTGGTGCAACAAAAGCGCTCAACTACGAGACATTACGGCCTTTAGAGGCCAGTGTGTCGACTCTGCACACGGGTTTGACGCGGTTTGACTCTCACAACCCACACATGGTGGGCAAGGGATCACAAGACAAGGGCCTAGTACCTGAGCTTTTGAAGAGAAAGCCTTGGGCCTTGGAGAGCACAGAAATGGAGGTAGGGCGATTGGTTAAGGGCTTGTAGGGCTTGGGTTCGGAGTCCAGTGTTGGCAATTGTGGAAAAAGCCAAGTAGTTCAGGATCGAGTCAAGGCGGCCAGCTGTTAGCTGAAGGATTCGCAGGCTTGTGCAGGATCTTCGAAGTTCTTTGCTGAGGGGCAGGGCACTCGAAGCTTTAGTGGGCATGGATGGTGCGCGAGGACTCGTGTCATCCTCAGCCCCTCTGAATAATCCAAACTTCGCTAACAGGAGAGACTCGCACACTGAAGCCTCCGCCAACACAAGCAGGAGAACAGTAACCTGGACGCAAAGTAATCAACGAGATCAACTCTAGAGCAGTTCTGCCACCATACCCCACGCGAAGCGCTCTGAACCCCACGACTAGGAAACCCGGAAGGATCCCTCAGCCCTCAGCCCCATAAAGCCACTACACTTTAAACCTCAACATTCACTTTTGAAATCTGATAAACATTAAGTCATCCCTACCACCTACATAGGTCGAAGTTGTTCAAGACTTCAAAACCCTAAACATCCTATAGTACACCATAGTAAGATATAGTATACCGTATATCATGCTATATAATCGTACATAGCAGGATATTATGGCCGCTGGCTTTTCTTGAAAGAGAAGTGGCCCTTGGAGCAGGCGCCCACAGCCGAGCTGAGGCTGAACATGTCGGGCACAAGCCGCGACTCTGTGATGCGATCCTTGGCAAATTGTTAGGGCGTTGAGGGTTTACCTAGAGGCTCCATAGTATTTAGAGTCCTATAAGCTAATCCCAAAAAGGAAAAACTATGGAGCCTAAGGGTATAGGGTTTAGGGTTTATAGGGCTTAGGGTTTGTAGTGCTTGGGTCTATAGGGTTGTCTAGGCTTATAGAGACTTAGAGGATTCTGAAAGCTTGGGCCCTTTGGCTGCTGTAGAGTCGAGTCAGAATTCTCCCCCGGCAAGGTTGATCATCATTCTTGAATATTATTTCACTATTGTTATTCTCATTATTAGCATTCTGTTTATGGTCGCTGTTATATAGAACTATCTCCAAGTTCTTTGCAAGCGAGCAAGCTGCCAGCAACGCCACGGCTCCCTGCCAGTGGCCGCTCCGAGCGCACGCACCTTAGCAATTCACGCACGCATAGACGGAATAGCCGGCTTAGAGTTTAAGGTTCAGGGTCTAGGGTTTAAGGTTTGGGGGTATGGGTTTAGTGTTCCGGGTTTAGGGTTTAGGGTACAAAACTCAATGTCGTCTTCCCTGGCCCTCAATCCCATCGTCTCCATGATTGCCAACGACTTGCTATTTTGCAGCACGCCATCATGGTCACCATTCTCCAACGATAGTCATTTCCAGCACCATTCTCAGTCTCGTCTTCATCTTCATCACCATGATCACCGTCGCCATCAAATAACACCCTACAATCACCATCGCGACGTGGTCGCCTCAAATCTCGACACCGCCAGAAGTTCTGAAAGTGTTCTATGCGCTTCCTGTGCGGTTGGACTCTCTTTGAGTTTAAGGCTGTAGCCGCAAGGGGTGTCGGCCCCAAACATCCCATACTCTAAACCCTTCTCAGTCACAGATTCTGCTGATCATCATCACTACAATCGTGACAACTGTCATCCCGAAGGCTGAAGGAGGGGCACCAACCGGACGTCGTTCACCACCACTCCTTGTGTCACTCTTATGCTACACCTATGCATTTCTTTCGCTTCCAGACTTCGTTCTGCTTTTTCTCTGATCCATAAATATCATCATCGTCATCATCATCAGCAGCCGAAGCAACAGAGATTGCCCGACATCACCATGCTCATCTGTACATCAAGTCCGGCGGCATCACCACCACCACAAGAGCGGGGACCAACACGAGGCCGACGTCGATGGCGACATTGGTTTTGTTCAGCATGGTGAAGTTGCTGTCGTTGTGGTCGCCGCAATTGCTGTTGCTTCTGTTGCTGCCGTTGTTGCCATTGTTGGTCCTGCCAATTGGTATGATGCCTCGTCTTGCTGTTTCTTATACTCCGGATGTGGTCAGAAACCGTTGAGTACAGTTGCAGTTGATGCTGATGCTGTGATGATGCTCTCGTTGCTCGTCCTGTTGTAGCTGCTTTCGCAGATCCGCTAGCCATGCCAGCTTCCTGCAATTCATGACCTGCCAAGCCCATGAGAGCAAGGCAGTGGGAGGCAACGAGCATGGCTGTCACGATCGCAGCCAAGCAGCTGATAGCCGAGTTGAAGGAAACTAGTGAGGCCTCAGGAACCGGATTGGGAGTCGCCAGCAGATGCCAGAAAGAGCACTGTCAATTGTGCAGCAACTGCCCGGCACATTTATGGAGTAGAGCGACATGCCGCCAAGTAGCTTGCACACCTTGCACTTCGATCTCGCTCAGAAGGTAGACAGCCCATTGCCAGCGGCTGCCTTCCGTCGTCCCCACGCTTAGACAGACGCACGATGCTCTCCGAATTCCGAAGGAACCACTACACTACACTGCAGAATTGCAATCACTCGGCGAAACTTGCACTTAAGTTCTGACACAATACTCCTCAAAACCGGGATTCCTCGAGCAGATGCTTCCATTCTTCAACCATACTAGGTCTCGACTCTCATGATGATATGCAACCTGCTTTGCATGACTAGGATAGCTCAAACCTGTCGGAGGCCTTTCTCGCAAGCGCTGATGGCGGCATTGAAAACAATGTCGCTCACCTCCACCTGCAGGAGGCTCAACTCACACAGATGTCGGGTGCTGAAGGATGGCGATTTCAGAACCAGCATGCTCGGAAGTGCTGCGGGATTAAACTCAGGACATGTAGTTTGTCATTTGGCGCTTCATACATTCATCTTGGGTTCTGCAGAACAGGGCAGCTGACAACGCGCAAATGCGCAACTGTCTGTATACATACGTATATATATATATATACACATACGTATGTACACATACATATATATATATGTATATTGAACTAGGGCACTGGCTTGTTTTGACAGTCTAGACTGGCTTGCTGGCCGAAGATGTTGTTGTTGCAGCGTAGGGTAGTTTCTATGTCTTAAGTTCAACTTCAGTGCTACAACGAGCTTGGAGAGCAGTCGCATGAATAAGTCTTGTACTCCTACATTGGCTCTCTGCACCGTCCTCCCTCTTGTGCGAGGCTTGGCGATTCTTCGGGCTGATGGATCTCGGAAAATCGAAACACACTGCAAACTTCCATAATAAAATGATACTAGTGATACCGCTACCTGTAGAAGTAGAATGCGATTCTGTGTGGAAAAGGGTGGTATACTTAATTCATACCCAGTTATAGGCGGAAGGGGAGACAATTGCTAGTTACTCACACCATGTGTCTAGGCCCTCATAGCCCAGAAGCCTTACGCTGAATCCTGCGATCCTTGCGGTTTCCGGCTGGGCGGGGTCCCCCAACTGAAAGCGCAAACTGTGGGACTTGTTCGGTCTCTCTTACTGGGTTTAGGATGTATATTATATGTATATATATATATATATATATGTACACATCAGACACATACAATTACGGTCTGGATTGCTTTGTGTTGGGTTTTGGCTTTATCTAGAGCTTTCAGGGCCTCTCTGAGAACCCGCCTGGCGAAGTGCCTCAAGCAGCAACTGCACAGCCCACTGCCACTTGCCTCCAGCCTCACCGGAGAGGCGTCTCGCATAATGATGACAAAGTCTGGTATGAGACAATAGGATAGTACAGTATATCATAGTGTAGCATAGTCAGTTATAATTAACTAGTAAATGCTTTTGATAAAAGCTTTCCAGTACTGAAATAATTTCTGTCTGCATGGTCCAATATACAGAAATCCGGTGCATGAATCCACGGTGCAAGTGTCGGAAACAAGCTTGCCGCAAGGTCCACTGTTGAAGCTGTTTGCAGATTTCCAGACTCGAGCAGATTTATGCACAACTGGTGCGCATATATATATATATATATAGAGAGAGAGAGAGAGATAGAGAGAGAGAGATCGATAAATACATAGATAGATACAAGAATTCCATGCATCATGCATCCAACATGTGTATATATATATATACATATGTATTACATATATGTATATATGCATGCACATATCCAACAAGTGTGTGTGTATATATTATATATAGAGAGTGTAAGACATTACGGGCCCCATATTTTCCAGTCAAAATGCTGTTTTCTAAGAGTTTTCATCACAAAAACTTACAATCGTCATAATTTGCATACTAGTGGTTTTCAAGCTTACTTAACCCTGTTGCTCCTGATGCCTGATATGGGAAGTACTTTCCAATCAGCATGGGATGCACTTGTGACTACCTTTCATTGTGGAGTCTCATGAAGACTATCCGATAAATCAATGCCACGTCAATCTTGTGGTTGTTCTTTGTGTCTCATAGTATAATCTTGCAGATAAATGAGATACAATGCGTCTGTGAAGCCGTGCATTTCTCCACCCTTGAATGATGTACAAGACCGGTCAATCTATATAACTTTTGCATATCAACGTAAAGAATCGCTTACATATCCCACCGGTTTTTGCAGGCCCCATCATGTGCATGGTAACATATGATTTTGGATATAAACGTCCAGCATATACTGTAGCATGACAAGTTGAGTTTGGCATCATACAGGCAGGTTGCTCAAACAGTTCCCACCGTCTCAAACTGTATACATGCAGGCGATCAACTGGATCGTGTTACCGGATCCATTTGCATGTGTACATATATACATATATGTACATAGATGTCTTTGCTACATTCAGTTTCGATACCGTTTTTCGTATGAATGCTAGCTTGTTTAGTGCAACCTCCTTCAAAGGCGTATTTATTGTTTACGATTATTGTTGCATTGGTTGTCCTTGTTTCGGAGCTCCCAGTCCAATAATTTGTCCAGTATTTGGAGCTGTGTGTGCGGAATTGTGTATTTCAATTGCAACAGCTTCTCACAGAAGCCAACCCAAAAAAACTGAAAACCTACGACCTTCGAAGACAATCATCGCATGGATGTTGCTGAATACATCCTGACAGCTACAATGCTGGCTTATCCAGATTAGTGATCATTGCGGCTGAAGCCCACGAGCCCCCAAAGGATAAGGATATAATTTAGTTAATATACTTTCCAAGGAGATGGTGCTTTGCTATCATTATTGTACATGCAGACACATGGAGATCCACCTGCAATATTAATCATTTTCGCTGTCTTGTTGCTCATACCATCTAGTCATAGGTCGACTGCCGTGAAAACACATTATTTGCACATGCACACACAAACATACACCGACACGCACATACGATTGCCATCAGCTGTAAACAATACCGCTTGTTGTATCTATGCTGCAGGTAATGCACCTGTATGCCGCAACCATTCTAATATGGTCTTGTTAAAGCCCATGACGCACTTCATCGTGTGTCTTATGGATATCTCCGTAAACTAAATCCTGTTACCCAAGCAAAAGTATAAGAACTATACTATGCCTAAAACCAACTTTCTAATATGTGACATGATCAAGAAGTCAAGTATCTCTTGTGGTGGAAGTAAACATGGCAGATTACATTGGCAGCTGCATGCCAGTTTTGGCAAGAGTAATGGAGCCGTCATAATGAGGCACCCAATCGGCAGTTGAACAGGATATTCGCCGCATTCCTTCAATGTAAAAGGCATGATATGTTTGAATATGGCCATATCAACATAGAGCACCAGGAAATCTCTTCAACATATCATTATGATATTGAGCCATCCGTATAGATCATCGCAGTAGGTGTCCTTATAAGATGCCCGCATCGTTCGGGCTTCCCCCTTTACGCCTTCCGGCCGCGCGGGCAAGCGGGATTGCACCACATATTGGTTAAACCCCTCGGTAAACCTTTCTAAAAGCCCGGAGACTTATTCTCACACATAAACCCAATCTCGCATGAAGTTACAACAGTCACAGCTAGGTATGAATAGGTCGCAAGATGCAGGCAGCATCTCATGACACATATCTTCTAGATGAGATTTGACTTAGATGTCCTTGTGCATCCCGTGAGCTTGCCAAGCTCGTATGGCATCTCCCTAGCACCTCATGCTACATGTTTATGAGTGTGTTACGCCATATCATACTATGATGCGCATGGTTCACGTGAAGATTGATACTTCACCATGACGTGCTCATGAGATATATTGTTTCCATATCTAGCCAGTTTTGGTATAATGATATTCAGATTCCTGCGAGTAGCCGATCCTGATCACAGGAACATAAACCAATAAGGATTTCCAGTTGTAAACTCCCCGACAGAGCCCACCATGTTGCTCGAACATCGCACAAGTGGAATATTCAAACTCCCGTTTTCATGCACCTATAAGATAGTTGGATTCGGATCCCTTACATCGCAACCTGCCAATGAAAGGCGAAGACAGTGTTTGTTGTATATGTTATCGAGGAGACTGCTCATACATGTATCTGACATCCGACATATATACCGACCATATGTCCTCGCATATGCTACCACATCATATGCGACGTCAAACATTGTTGTTATCGCTTGACTACGACAGACCCTTCAACAGGTTGTCCACCTGGCATTGCTCAGGAGGTGGTTGTGTCGTGAGTTCGCATCCGTCGAATGTATGTTAATGCAAGGTCTCCTCGTCATATGATGTTGTGCCAGTCATAAATAGTTTGTCATCTTTGTGAGCTGTAATCTCCGATATCTAATTTTCTATACGCAGTAAGTCTCTGAGGTCTTTTATAGATTCTATAGATGTTTATCTGGTTAGTATGTAATCTTATTGATCTTAATATTCGGCATACAGTATCTACTCACTTGTAGTGAGGCTTGCATGGGCTAAGGACACCAGGTTTATTGAATCATGTGGCTCTTGGTTGGTGTCCGCTCCTGCAGTATGGCGCACTATGGCGTTGGCTGTCGCTTGCTGTCCCCGGGGAGGGGGAGTTTTTGATTTTCGATGTTTTTTTTATTTTTGCGCTGCCCCCCCCTCCATATTTTGTTTTTTTTTGCCCCCCCCCTCTCCCCCCCCCGCCATCCCCTTAGTAGCAGTGTTCTCGCCCTTAGGGCCTGAACCAGCCAAGAAGTGAGTCAAACTTCTTGCTCTATAGTCATGTCGACAGTTGAAACAAAAACTTTGGACATGTGATAACCATTGTTGTTTGTGCACATGTATGGGTATACGTACATGTATCCTATTTAAGAATATGCATATGAGGATAACCATATCGTGTGCACGAGTGATGTTGCTTCAAATCTGAAGCAAACCAAAAACATGAAAAACAGTAATGCTGTAAATATGGGGCCCGTAATGTCTTATTTTCTGTATATATATATATATATACACGAATAACAACAACAAACTGAAAAC